AATAAATAAAACTATAATAAAATGTAATATTTCATAACTAGGGAAAAATTAAGGAATTAAGGAATTTTATGTCACTACGGTAACAATATCTTTATAAAAAAAATTTTTACTAATAATAACTTTTTTGAATTATTATTTTTTAAATTTTATTATATAAAATTTGATCAAAATTAATATAAAAATTATTTAATTACTAAACTTTGAATTTTAATATATAAAATTTGATCAAAATTAATATAAAAATTATTTAATTACTAAACTTTGAATTTTAATATCTTTATATGCCATTGTGAAAATTTTGATATATCAAATAAAATTTTAACTCTATCTTATTTAATTAAATTATTAGATATTAGAATTTATTTAAATATAAAAATTTTTATTATATAATTCTCTTATAAAAAAATTTTACTAATATAAAACTTTTTTAAATTGTTATTTCTTAAATTTTACTATATAAAATTTGATTAAAATTAATATAAAAATTATGTAGTAAATAATTTAATTACTAAACTTGAATCCTAATATCTTTATAACTACTGATTTAATTTTTATGAAATTTAGAACATATATTTATCAAATATAGAGCAATCTGCTTGCATAGTTTGAATTTTAATATTATAAATTGATAGTGATAATATTTAAAATGTCTTTTGTTTAAAAAAAATAATCTTATTTTAGTTTTTTTAGTAAAGTAATACTTCATTTATTATTAAATTAAATATAATAGAATAATTAAAATAGTATAGAAAGTAAATTTAGATCATTTTTATTTAATATAAAATATTATAAAGATTAGTTAAAATTTGAATGATTTTTATTAGAAGCAATTATTAATTTTTATATTAGTGTATCAATCTTCTTGCAATGGCCCATAACTACTAATTCAATTTTTGTGAAATTTAGAACATATATTTAATTTAGATCATTTTTTATGTAATATAAAAAGATTGGTTAAAATTTGAATGATTTTTAAGCAATTATTGATTTTTATATTGAAGTGCAAATCTTTTTGCACCAGATCACATTTATAATTGAAAGTCAAGCATAAAACTACACTTTCACAAGATTACTTATAATTCCAATGGCAGTGTTATTGTTAAACCACTGTGTAAAGAGAACTTTTCAGTTGTTAATTTTCCAGATCCAGACTGTAATATCGCGTCGGATATTTGTTGATACTACAAGGTAGGAATTTTTGTTGATCTATGCGTAGACATTACGGGATAATCCTAATTAAAATTGTTCATTTTTTACCGCGTATAATTTTGCTTTAAACTGTGCAATGATTCCAACACAACTTTACATTTTCCATATCGTTTAAATTTCTCATCTCCTGTATTTCGAATAATTTATTAATTTTATTATGCGTTCATCATTATAAATTTGTTTGCGATATAAAAAACAGTGAACGCGGAACCAATTTTCTTGACAGTACATTTACTACAATACGAGTATTGTGAAATAATTACAATGATTAGTATTCGATTCCATCTTTGAGTTCACTTTATAGAATGCGAATTGCTTGAAATGATATGCCTGTACGAGATGTGGCTTGAGATCAACGACTGTTATTGACTTTCAACTCGATACATTAATTGATATTCTATATAAAATGTGAAGTAACTTCAAATCAGTTGATAAAGTATGCAGTAATTTCAATTTGAAATTTATTATTTCGAAATAGGTTTTTGATATGGATAAGTTACATGGTTAGTGTATTATATGATATTAAATTTCAAATGGAAATTTAGCTGGTTTACCATCTTTATCGTAATATAAATAACGGATATTATAAATTTTAAAAATATATCCAAGAGCAAGCACTTCATAAGGGGCAAAAAATCTTTCATCAATAGTAACCTCGTCTGTTTTATATCCATGTGCATACTTTGATACTTGATGATATAAAAAAGAAATACACATTCTCACATCATTTTCCTTCGTTTTGTTGATATCACAAATTCTTTTCAAGTAATATGCAAATTCATGATGATTAATCAATTTGTTTAATTTACTGTCGGGAGCTGATGAAAAGTTTTTAGGTGGTTCAGTTGATTCTTCAGTTGATAGTTTAGTTGGTGATTCACTCAGTGGTTTAGTTGATGGTTTAGTCGGTGGTGATGCAGTTGGAGTCAGAAACAAGAGTTCATAATCTCCAAAATTATCTCTTGATATTTGCTCTCTTATCCATTCTAAAACTCCGCGTATATTGAAATTTCCACGCATTTTCAAATAAAGAGTAATATAATCTTGTTTTTCATTTTGCGAGGACTGCAATTTTTCCTTCATTAAGGTAATTTCTTGTTTGTGTCGAACTTGAAGTTGATCTTGAACCTTGAGAATCTCTTGTTTGTGTTGATTAAAAATATCAAGAATCTCTTGTTTATGTTGATTAAGCATATCATGAATCTCTTGTTTATGTTTAAAGTCGAGTTGATCTTGAAGCAAAGTAGCTTCTAATACAAATCTTTGACGTGATAAAAATATAGTACCTGAGAGACGTTTCATCATATTATAATAAGGGCTATCTGAAAATTGTTTAATTGATTGTGAATAATTACGAGAGGGGAAAATTTTAATAGCACGATGAAGAGAATAATAATAAATGGAATGATAACGAAGTAGTTGATAACAAAGCATATTAAACTGTGAGTGAAAAAGTCTGGTTGAATTCAAAGCAGTTTTATAATCAAAATTTTTATATTTAAGAAAGTTTATTAAAAATATGTGCATGAAATAAATAATCTAAAAGTTTGGATTAATGCATCACGATCATATTTGTCTGAAATCCCAAAAAAACACATGTGTTTTATCATCATGTGACATGTAATAATAATATAACAATTAATAATTAACAAACAATTACAGTAAATTCCCGCATTGCCACATTTGGCACATTAGAACAATAATTTTTTCACACCCCTTTTTTGATGTTGCCATACACCTCGTGATTACGTGATAAAAATATATCACATGACAGGACGTTGGAAAATCGAATCGAGTTATTATTTATCAGATATGTATATATCGATATATATGTGCCAAATTTTGTGACTGAATTTAAATTTTTGATGTCATTATTTTTAATATCAAACTCTTATGAAATTTTTAATTTCATTTTAGTAATCATTTTTGAAAATATAACTTTAAACATCATTTGGATTTTTGTAAAATCTTGCAATTACCAGTTCAATATGTAATGAACAAATTCAAAAAAATAAAAATATTTATTCTAACAAAAAATTATGTTTCTTGCGAAATATTATTATTAAACTTTGCAATATATTCTTTAAATCCTCACTCTCACTGTATTTTACACATCTAAACATCTAATTTTCTTTTTTGTATTGTCTAATTCAATCATATAGACATATTTTTGTCCAAATTACTAAAACTTCGGCGTTTATTGATGAAAACACCGCTTCACATAATTGAAGTACTCATAACTTACAATTTGATTTGTTACTATGTAGAATCTAAATATTTGATATTGATGTATTTTAAATCAATTTGAATTGTCATTTGATTGAACTTTATCATTGAAGTTGATATGAGCTTTATAGTAAATATTCGACTGTATAGACTGCACTAAAATGAATTTGTTCTTTTATTTAAATTCATAGCAATGCTTTTTGTTAATAAAAATCACTTTTTTCCAGAATAAAATACTCTTTAATTTCTTTATCTGTTTTTGAATATTCTAAAGAATTCTAATACTGAAAATACAAAGTTTCCAGTTACCACCAATGATAATTCGTATATTCATAATGCTCATCGTCGTAAACCGATCAGATAAATTTTTCAAGGTTCTCGACAGTTTTTCTGTGTTTTGAAATAGGATCCTAAAATTTTTCAATAATAAATTAACGCCAACCTGGGTCGGGTTTGGGTCAAAATCCCGAAAGAACACAATCCCGAAAACAGAATTCCGAAAAAATAAAATCCCGAAAGAACAAAATCCCGGACGCATTAGTCCGAAAATTAGATCCTAAAAAAATTCAGCAAATGATAATAATTTTAACTCCTGTTATTTATTTTTAGAACTAGAGTATTACTATTATTGTCTGATTCTTTAGTTCAAATATAAAAGCGTTTCGGACTAATCTTTATTATTGAAGTTGAAATGAATTGCAAGCTTCCGGGCTTTCGTTTCGGGCTAATGAGATTGTGTGTGTCTTCAGGATTTGTCTTTCGGTTTTAGAGTTGTGTTCTTTCGGGCTTCTGTTTTTTCGAGATTCTATTCATGGGAAATTATTACCGTCGGATTTAGTTCTTCTGGATTATTTGACATAGTAGGTCCTTTGTAGGCATCTAATACGAGATCTCTGTTTACAGAATGACGTTTTGCCAGTTACAAACCTCAGACCAAAGCTATGAATATCAGCAGCTTTAGTGTGTGGCTTTTCCATTGAACTCATATGAGGAAGCTGGGTCGGTATGACTAAAAGATGCAGCAATATGCCATGATATATTTCCAGGGTGAAAGTCGTGATTCACAAGTTTTTTTTACGAATTTTCATTAGAATATAGAAAATAAACAATAAATATTTATTTTATTCGTAGTCGAAAATAACATATCTACAAATGTCATAATTGGCTTATTTGTGAATATATTTTATATTTTTTTTTGATAACCCCATTATAATCGAGTATTTCGTAACGGGGGGAGGTTTCTAGTTATTCTATATTAACTTGTTTTAAAGTGAATATCACTATAGAAAGCCCGAATATATTTTTGAACAACTTAGTTGTATTAAAAGACAAAACAGTATTATTTTACATATTAAAAAGTCATATAAATCTCTACCACTTGTTGTAAAAAACTAATAATTGATATATTTTAAATCAGCCTGAAATGTCATTTGGGTTGAATATAAAAATGTACATGTCACTATCAGTTGGAATTGATAATAAAGATTCAACTGATGCAAATTACATTTGAGTGGATTTTTTTTTCATAGATGCATACGTCGGAATTCTTTTTTGCTAATTCATCGCCTTATCGAGTCCTTTCATGTTGACACAGCCTTACGATTAATTCTTTAGATTACCAGTAAAGAGGGAACAACATTAAATTAATGTCATATAATAACGTCAATACAAAAGTACCTATTATATAGACAGTTATTTTTCAAATGAGAGTTACTCATATGAAATACCAATTTTTTTCAATAGAAATACGCTTATCATTTTTCAATCAATAATTAATATCAGTTTACATGAGCCGATTAATTTAACAACAAATTACGGATTTTTAGTTTATGACTCAAAATTGGAGAGAATGACCTAACCTAATCATATCTAGTCCTGTGCCGATATCGTATAACTTACGAACTATGGGCGGGAAGGAGGGGAGTTCCTGGTTTACTCGAAGGGATAAGAGGGGTTTGTATGCTCTATTAGTTCTAATCCTATTTATCCGGGCAAAAGCTTGACATTAATTTATCAATCAATTAATCTGTTGCCTTTTCTGAATCAAGGACCTCACTAATACGTCGTTTTTCTAACACAAAGATCCTAATCAATACGTTTGTCTTTTCTGGCACAAAGTACCTAATCAATCTAGCGATTACAATTATGATTGTAATAATTATGACACCTTTACGAAGGGTGTGAGTATTTTATTATTTTGGGAAGAATTGTACGCAATTACTTCTTTTTTAGGTAAAGTTTTATAATTTTTATTTATTTTTTTGTTATTACTTTCTAGCTATTGTTAATACTACTAATCAACGCTTCTTCGCTACTACATCATTATTGGATCTTTTTATACAATTTTCATGCTATAAATCCAATAATTATACTATCAAAGTTCAAAGCGATATTAAAGAAAAACTAACAAAGAAAAATAATCACGCCATACATACAGGAGATTGTCAATAGTGAAACTTGGACAAAAATGTAAATCTTGTGATTTCAAAAATTAATAAACAGCCAGATTGAACTCCATCAAAATTGTCATAATGAGCAATGATTCTTTCTATTTCATTAGATCATAATTGGGATGATAACCAAAGTTTTTCATCAATTTTATCAGGTCCAACATGATGAGATAATTGGAAAGTATGCTTTCCAATTTGCCAATGATGATTTATTGATACAATATTATTTCTTCGTTTGATTTCATCCTTTAAAGAATGGAATCGGCGTTGGAACTATCATGACGTATTTTGCAATAACTCTCCTAACAAATTATATCGTTGTAATTGCAATGTGGTATTGCTTTCAGATTGTGCAATTTCAATCAATATCTGTTCGACTTTGACTTCCCAAGTATCTGATAATTCCGAAGAACTGGAAATCATATCAAATTTTCAGCAACAAGATTATTATTATTATTATACATTACGTTTTTATTTCAACTGGGGTAATATGATTAAATAATGGGTCAAGACGATTAGCTGCGTTTGTGTTCTTCAAATAAAAACAAAGATCTGTTGAGAATTAAATACACCGTTGAACCGGTATTTTCGAAGTGTTTGAGCTAATCGTAAAGTGTTGTTTACGACTTCCTGATTCTTCCAGACCATATTATCCAGATCAACTTATTTTATTTTAAATTTTAAATTTTGAATTTTTTAAAAAAATTCATCGAATTTTTTGAAAAAGGGGGAAGCGTTTAAATAAAAATTAGTCAACGTAATCATCAATATATTATATGTATAAAGTAATTTTAAAATTCACCAGATCGTTTAAATCCTAATGAAGTTTGTTTCTCATGATACTGATTAAGTCACATGCCGTTAAAAGTTTTTCTTAACAATTGGTCTCGTTGATTTTGTAATCGATAGGCATTATTATTATAAGTTTTGTGAATATAATATCACTCAGCGATCCCATTGCACTTTTAAATTTGTCATCTTTAATGCATGCTGTGTCAAGTTGTAGATTAACACTTTCTCTCCAATATCGAAGGTTTCAATACAGCGAAGTTTTTGATCGTGTCTTTCCCTGGCTTTTAATTGAGCTTCCTGCGCATTTCCCAGGGCAATGTGTATTTGTACAGGTTATTGTATAAGGACGAAATTTCTATTATTTATTACTTCTTCAAACTGTCTTCATTTGTTGGATGAGTCTCATATTGTAACTCGATGGGCATTCCGCTTCCCGTCCATAAGTCAAAAAGAAAGGTTCATGTCTGATACTAACATTTCTTAACATTCTATACACGAATATGGAGCAGGGATGCACACATCCTATTCGATACCTAATTCAATACAGTATTTCTGCAATGTTGAACAAAGGGTCCGATTATATCTATGAGAAAAGTGCCCGGAACTTTTTCGGAATTGATACTTAGGTTTCGGAATCTACTCGGAATTACCGGAAACCGTTTCGCAATTGAGAAGGAATGATACCAATATTGAATTTTGGTATAAATCTTTTTCGGAATTTTTACGGAATTGTTCTTAAATACAGAATTTTCCCAGACCAAAAATTTTTTATGGAATACGGGACTGATTCGGAACCCAAATTCGGAATTTTTACGCATTTAATACTGGCAGAATGCTCATTACGGAACAGTTACACAACTAAAACTGAATATAAGACGGAATGTACATTATCGAACTGATTTGGAACCTAGATTCAGAATTATCACACAATTAATCCTTAATTTATAATACAGCACTCTATATTACAGAACTAAGCCGGAATGATTATGCAACTAACACCAAATCTGTACGTTATAATAATAATAACAGCTTATATATTATAACATTTATTTATTATTAACTATAATAATAATTATAATATGATATCAATTATGATATCATTGTAATATATGACGTAAATTTTTTAAAAAATTATGTCTTAATTTATCTTTTAAATTATTTTATTATTTAAATCAGTATGTTCTGTATATAATTATTACAAGTAAAAAATTTTTTGATCTAATTTTTTACATGTTTCAAAACAAATAAAAAATAATAAATAGTTTAATCATCTTTTAATTATATCTGCTTCAGCTGCTACTATTTGTTCAAATAATTCTGAAGTTATTATGAATTCTAACTTGCTAATTGAAAAACCAAAATATGATTCTCAAGAAAATGATTAACTAAAGTTAATATTTCATACTATACAAATATTGACCAAAAAGTTATTGTTTTAAAGGTATATTTTTTTAAATTTTAACTTTTTAATTTAGAGTTTTATGAAAACTTTATTAAAAGCAAGTGAATATTATAAAAAGCCAAACTATTTTTAATTCCTAAGAATATTTGTGAAAGTTGATATGAGAAAGTAGTAAAAAAGTTATTTTATTTAATAATTATATTGGATATTGGTCTTTTAAAGAAGCTTCACATTAATATATGGAAGGACAAGATAAATTATTTTAATATTATTCTAATATTATAAACTAATAATAATTTATTTTATAGTATATTATAAATAAAGTTGTATTAAAAAGAAAGTTGATTCTGTATATTACTGGAAAAAAAAGCTAAAATAATAGGTTATATAATCTCTAAAAGAAAATAATATTTTAAAGATCTTCTTATAAGAAATTCTATTTAACATCAAATTTTCAAGTTATAATTTTGACTAAAATATAAATACTTTTAGATATTAATGAATCTTTTAATAAAGAACTTGATAAATTAAATAAAGAAAATAATGATAATTAGCTTGAAGATATTATATATTTTTATTATTTATACTTTAATATTAATAATATATATAGATTTTTGTTAAATTTTAGAAGAAATTCAAAATTTGAATCAGAATAATTTAATTAAAGAGACTAATAAGAAATTATCTATTTGCAAATTTTAAAAAGCAAAATATAAAAGTCCATTTAATCTAAGTAAGTATTAAAAATAACTTCTCAATTATTATAATATTATAATAAACAAGCATTATTAAATTATAACTAGTTGTAATCTTAGTAATTTTAAGCTATAATAATATAACAAATAGAGTAGTATATATTATAATAGTTATAATAGTCATTATTAGTAAGTATTATATATATTTTTATTTTTTTTTTTTTTTTTTTGTTTTTTTTTCTTTTTTTTTCTTCATCAATATCTTTTAGTTAGTTTATTGTACCTTTCAAGTATT